TTTCTGATCCAGCAAGTGAGAAGAGAATCACATCCCCTGGTCTTGCCTGCACAACATCAGTTTGTACCAAGGAGCACTGCCATACCGTCTCCCTCCCTCCCCCTACATAATGAGTGCCAAAAAGCTGCTATGTAACCCCTAAGACTGAAAGTGATACTAGGCACTTTCCGAAAAAGCAGCTCTGTGATTTCATAGATCTCACAGATTTTCAGGTTCGGAGGGGACCTCAGCAGATCATCAAGTCTGAACCCCCTGCCCTGGGCAGGCAAGAGTGCTGAGGTCAGATGACCGAGGCCAGATGTTTGTTCAGTCTCTTCTTAAACACCTCCAAGGTAGGGGAGAGCACCATCTCCCTTGGAAGTCCATTCCAGATTCTGGTAACTCTTACTGTAAAGACGTTCTTTCTAATGTCCAGCCTAAATCTGCTCTCTGTCAGTTTGTGGCCATTGCTTCTAGGTACTCCAAGGGGTACCTTTGTAAACGGAGTATCTCGTATTACTTGCTGTCCCCCCACCCCCGCACCCGACAAATTTGTAGACAGCCACCAAATCTCCTCTCAGCCTTTTCTTACAGAGGCTGAAGAGATCCAGGTCCCTCAGTCTCTGCTTGTAGGACCTTTCCTGCAGGCCCCTAATCATACAAGTGGCCTTCGCTGGACCCTCTCAAGGTTATCTGCATCCCTCTTGAAGTGCCGTGCCCAAAACTGGAAGCCATACTCCAGCTGTGGCCTTACCAGTGCTGCAGAGAGGGGATCACCTCCCTGGACCTGTTCGTGATGCCCATGTTAATGCACGATAGTGTATGGCTAGCTCTATTGATCACTTCATCACCTTGTCGACTCATGTTCACCTTTGAGTCAACTGTGACTCCGAGATCCCTTTCTGCTGCTGTGCTGCTTAGAAAGTCATCCCCCAATCTGTATGTGTGCTGGTGATTCCTTCTCCCTACGTGCAGTACTCTGCACTTATCCTTGTTAAACTGCATCCTATATTGTTCTGCCCACTTTTCCAGCCTGTCCCAATCTGCCTAAATCCACTCCCTGCCCTTCAGTGTGTCTGTCTATTTTGCCTCATAATTTGGTGTCATCCATGAATTTGGACAGTGTGCTCACTATGCCCTTGTCCAAATCACTGATGAAGATACTGAACAGCACTGGCCCAAGGACCAAGCCCTGGGGGACATCATTGCCCACATCCTTCTAGTTTGATACCGGCCTGTCCACCACCATTCTCTGGGTGCATCCCATTAGCCAATTTGTCACCCACCTGACTGTATAATCATCTAAATCACAGCCGCTCAGTGTTTTTATGAGAATGGGATGTGACACCATATCAAAGGCTTTTTTAAAATCCAAATATATGACAAGCACCTCGACTCCTGTATCTAAGCAGTTTGTGACCTGGTCATAAAAAGAAACTAGGTTTGTCAGGCAGGATCTACCTGCTATGAATCCATGCCAGTTGCCCTTCAGCATTACTTTTCCCGCTGGACTCACACAAATGTATTCCTTAATTTTTTCAAAGGTTTTCCCAAGGATCGAGGTGAGACTAATCAATCTAAACTTACCCAGATTCTCCTTCTTACCCTTTTTGAAAATAGGGACCACATTGTCCCTTTTCCAGTCCCGTGGGACCTGCCCTGAGTGTCATGAGTGCTCACAGTTTTGTCAGTGGTTCTGCTATGACACCAGCCAATTCCTTCAGCACCCTTGGATGAAGATCATCTGGGCCTGCTGACTTGAACACATCAAGCCCTTCCAAGTGCCCCTTCACTAGGTTGACACTAACCATTGGTGGGCTGGTGTCCTTCCTGTGATCTTTATCAACACTTGGTGTATGGGCAGTTGGAGCAAGTGGGCAGGGTATATTTTCATAGCAGCGCTCCCTAGTGTGAGCTGATGAAATGTAGACATTCCTTAAGAAGCTGGGAAGGTATGAAACACCATTACAGAGGACAAATGTTTTTTGAACAGGAGTGTCACCTGGGCCACAATAGCTATACTCCAGAAGTGCTTAGTATAGAGGTAGCGTCAAATTATCCAATCTAAACCTGTCACAGTTAACCCGAATTTTAAAATACTGGGAAGTATTGAACTAAAAAGAATTCTCTGCTTCTAAAGGGTATGGCCATATCTCAGGTTGGAAACGAGCTGGAATTTTTGAATGTGCTCTTGGCTGCACAGAGCTCTCTACTTTCAGAGCAAAAATTGCAGGTGGTTTTCCTCACTCTTAACCTCCAGCTCTTTATTATGTTTTGATTATTAAAGGGTAGTATTTTGTATTCCAAACTAAAAAAAAAATAGCTAATGCAATTAAATGCATTTTGAAAGCACAACTTCGGGAAAGAAGCATGTTTTTTCATTCACTGTGGCTGTGTTAGAGTCTAGTATAAATATGTTTTATTATTCTGAAGCATAGAATTATTACCTGACGGCATAACATGCTGATTTAATGCAGCCCTGCAGAGAAAAGTGGTGGTTCTATCATTACCATGATAGCCAATACACATCATAAAAGTGATACATGGCAGCTTTGAATAAGGAGCTGCACATCGTTCATTAGTACATCACTTTATATTAGGACAGCAGGGATCAATAAAAAGCAACAGGATTAAATGCTCCCATTTCCCCCTACAAAGTCTTTTGATGGATGATATTTGCTTGCAGGTGTGATTGAAACATTACTAAAAAACTTTCCTCAGGCTTAGCAAAGTTTGGAGATGGAATAGCCTTTGTTTTGTCTTGCTTTTTTTTAAATCCAGTGCTATGTTACTCATGATGTTCTGCAGCCCCCAAGGTGTAAGAATGTGATTCAGCTGTACAGATGTGGCATATCAGCCAAACAGTGGCTGTGCATGTTTGTTATGGGAGGCCCTGCCCCAGTGTGAGTGGGGAAGGAAACTGGTCAGTCTGCAGAAAAACAGATCGTTTTGCTACATGCAACCTATAACCTCTCTGGCCCTTGAGTGCTGTGATACAGACATCCCCTCGTTAGGAAGTGGATTTATTTCAGCTAAATCTAATTAATTAGATTTCACACTTTTTACTTCTTTCAGTCTCTCATATGGGTTACTCAGATAAATGATATGCTACCAGTTGAGTTGAAAATTGATAAATATCTTTTTCCCCCACAAATGAAGCATATTTAGATATGTTGTAGAAATTGCAGAAGCCTAAATACTGTGGTGATGACTGCCTTACAAACCATGGATTGGACGTGTTTTAGAAAAGCAAAGAGAATTAGCACTTGCATAAACTAAAATATGAAATTATTCCATGGCAAAGCTACTGCTGCCAGTGTTGAGCTCCTGTGCCTTCAGTGGGAGGCACAAAGTGGGCCCATAATCCCCTGGTTGGCAGCCAGCCAAACTGGCCAGAGAATAGGAGGTGTCCTTATTCGCTCCATCTCTTCCATGCAATAGAGGAGTTTCTCTGCAGTGACTTTAATCCAATCACTGAAATACTCTTTTAATGTGTTTGGTTCTTCTAACCCCATTGGATGCAGAGGAAAGAGGGTGGTTGTATCCATGTAGCTGCAGAAGTTCTGGTGTCACCTCTCTTGGCTTGTCACTGTCTCACCTCCTGCACACTTTCTCACTGAGATCACATGAGACTGGACAGCGGATACACAACCTTCCTGTATCTGTCCTATGTACAGATCATGCACAATGGAGCTGCATCCATTCTACAATCCCAGGGGCCTTCCTAGCTAGAGGAAGAAGCTGGACTTGCTCTTAAGAGAATGAAGACTATAATTACTTCAAGGAAGGAAATCTGGACTTCAGGAGGGCATGGATCTATACCTTATAAAATTCATAGTTGGGGAAATTATGGAGTTTCCTTTTTTCTTTGTTTTTAGTGATATGCTTGTTATTTTCTAGTTGTGGAATAAAATCCAGCTGGGAAGAGTGAAATGCGGCTTATGGACAAAAATGCATTCGAGCCAGACTAGAATTTAGTGTCAGAAAGAGCTTGTTCAACTTTCCAAAAAGATCTGCTCCTGGCCTAAGAGACCTTGGAGCACATTTTTGTATGGTCAAGTTACAAACCTCTGAAAATAAGATTTATAATGGAAATGCTGACACAACCTTAATGTTACAAACTTAACATCTACAATAAAAAAACAGCCGATGTGTGCAGTTCTTGGTGCAGCCTGTGTCATTTCTTCCTAAGATTAAGTTGCCACCTAATGGCAGGAAAGTAGTATTGTCAACAGGAGATAGGATCCAAAATGTCCAGCTGCTCCTGCTCCAATAAAGTATCTATAACTAAAAGGATAATGGGTGGTGAATTAAAATCTGGTGTAGTTACCTCCTTTAGATTTGCTTTGGCCTTTCCCAGTTGTTTCCAGGGCTGGGTTCTGTGGCTTGTTTGTACTTTCTCTTCAGGAAAACAAAGCTTATTGTGTCCTTTGAAACTGCCACGAGTAAAGCAGAAACCAAAGATAGTATGCAGGAGTCAATATCTTATTTTCCCTTTCTTGCATAGGATGCCTCTGCATTAGGTCTGGCCTCCCCTAGACCACCTAACAAGATTTCCTAGGGTGGCATGAAAACATGAGACTGCTCTATGTCAACCTGTGTGTCCTGTCATGGCCCTAGGGCTACAGGGAAGATGCTGTTAAAATGGAAACTAGGGTCCTTCTAAATTTTGAGTCGGCAACACTTTCAAAATCTTAGCCAAGGAAGCCTAGTTCTTTCTCACATTACATGAAATCTAGGACCTCATTATACAGCATCCTTCCTAGTAGCTCTGGAAGAGAAACAGGATAAGTTATTGCACTTTCTTTGAGAGCCACCAATTTATAACACAAGCAGTGAGAGGATCCAACATAGTTCTGAAATCTTAGTTCTTGTGTTTGTCTGTTCTTAGATTTTTATCTCTAATGCTCCTAAAGCCTGAACCATACACTGTGATTGAATTGGAGATTGACCAGTGTGTGTGCATTATCACTGGGATGCTAATGAAACAGCCTGTTGATGATGATCTTCTTGTGTTTCAGATGTGAATGCCTACCAGGCTATAGTGGCAAACACTGTGAAACTGATGATGATGACTGTGTGGGCCATAAATGTCGCCATGGTGCTGTGTGTGTAGATGCAGTCAATGGCTACACCTGTGTCTGTCCCCAGGGATTCAGGTAAGCAGGTCACGTTCCTCATTCTGCCTGCATGTAGTCAATGTATATTATCTAGTCTCTTTTATTGTCTTTTGACTCAAAGTTGAATAAACTCTAGCTATTGTATTTATTTGGCTTTTACTGTGTGAACTGATGGCTCAGTGCTCTGAATCTTGCAGATGTGTGGCTAAGACTATAACCAGTATTCTGTCCTTACCTTTAAAATCAAAAGGATCTCAGAGACTGGCCTTTTGTCTACACTCTCTTTGAATGGATGAGAGCCAGGCATCAGTGAGGGGCCAGCAGCAAGTAGAAGAGCTAAAGAGGCTGCAAGCTAAGCCCAATGAGGAAAGATGTCTTGTATTAGTCTGTAATGACACCTATGGCTGGTAAAGACCCAACTTTGACATCTTTGAAGGGATAGTGCATTGAGTCCTACCTGTCAGTACTGTGTGGGGTGTGAA